CAATGCGTAATAGGGAAGTATATAAAAGTGCCGTCTATGGCAAACCTGCGAACGGTCGTGCTAGTTCTCTCCCTTGTTTCCTTCCCTCATTCCATTTTCCCTTCTACCCGTGATTATTTGTTCCACGCCTGTAATCAATCAGAAGCTTTACGCTTGTGTGGGGACACAGGTGTGAGTAAGATGTGAGCCCAGCTCTCGGAATAAAAATGTTGTAATTAGTAGGTAGAAGAAAGTTTAGAGTACTGTGGTGATAAATCTTCCTGAAAGTTACAGTTGGAAAAGTCATTTCAAAACTCAAGTTTGTGATGATGTGAAGGTAAGAATGGCTCTGACAGGCAGAAGTGGGGAAAGTAACCATGGCAGATTCTTCTAGGCCAAGTCTGGAAAGACTGACACCCTGAAAGGACTCATTCAGGAGGTTGGGGTGTCTTACAGAGATTGATATTAAAGGATTTTAGAAAAAAATGGCATGATTATATTTTTGTTTTCAAATCCTTGTCAAAGCAGTGCTTTGCAGGGAGGAATGCAGAAGAAGACTATTTGTCTGGAAACGAGACCTTTGCAAGTAGCTAGTTTTTAAAAAGGTGAAAGAGAAAATATGGAGAATAAATTTCCTCCTAGTTTCTGATGGGAGCAGTTGGGTGGAGGCAGTTACCATCCACGACACAGGCACAGAGTCAGGAAAAGAAGAGCTTCTGCAGGGAGAATAGCGGTGGATGTGGAAGAGGAAGGGGAGGACTGCTTTGGGTCGTGTTGAATTTGAGGTACCCCGGTGGGGATGGGGATATCGCAGCCCAGGTGGGATGGGGCAGATCCGGAAAGCTCTCCCTTCTCGGAACCTCTTCATAGCCCTCATTCGCTTCCCCTCCCTACTCTTTCCTAGAAATGATCTCTTCCACTTCCCAATTCTACAGATACTTCTTACCTAATATTTCAGTTTTCATGCACATTACTTTATGGTTACTATTATTTTTTTCAGGTCTATCAGTATATAAGCTTATATTTAAGAGCACAGAACGTCACATATAGATACATATGCTTGGTTTGAGTAGCATACAGATTTCACACAGTTTACAAGGAATAACTAGTTTTGAATTGTAAGATACTGACAAACCAGTACTTTTTCTATAATCCACAGTGGTGCCCATAATTCTTCAATAATACATTAATCATTGTCTTTTAGTGAGTACCGATTAGCAGTCTTTCTACAAAGTTCTTTATGATATACCAACAAATACATCCATGACATGTTATTATTGAAATTTCCAAGAAAAATCTGAAAAGCAATGTGTGATGAAAAACTTGCTTAAATTTATCTAGTAGCTAGTAAGTGGTACAGCTGAGATTTGAACCAGGGTCTCTCCATGAAGCCAATGTGCCTTCCAACATCCTAGCATCTTTACTAGGCCATGACACAGTTAGTATTACAGTAAATGCCCAAATTCACTAGAGGTTAGTTCCTGGATAGTCTAATACTTTCCCTTAGCTTGAAAATTGATTCATAGTTTCTTAAAAGATGGTATTAATTTTTTCTGTTTTAATTATAAAAGTATTATGAGGTGAGGCTGTTATGACAGAATGAATTTGGAAATTAATAAAATGAATTTCTCTTTCTAGATTTCATTCCCTAATGATAATTTTAATAATTGACCCTGTATAGAATCAGACTTTTTCTGTATATACATTTCATATATTACAGTTAAAGTAGCATCCTGCAAGTATGAGAATACATAATACTGCACTGTATCTTTCTTTTTTCATATTATAATGTTGTATCTGTCCAGGATCAGACACATTGATATGCTTAAGTTTTTGTAAGGAGAAAATGTTACTATATTTTGTGACTGTACCACAGTCATTTGTTTCTTTAGTTTGTTCCTTTTAATAATATAACAGTCTATCATAAAAACAATTTCTAGGGAATCAGTTGCTGAATCATGCTTAGAGTATTTAGTACCCTGTGATTTCTATTATAAGTGGTTCATATTTTCCTCTCTGTTAATTGCATGATGTTCATTGCTTTTCAATGTATTACTTAATTTTTAAATTTTCTTTCTCCACATTCAATGACTGTCACACTAGTCTTTAGTTTTCCCCTTTGTGGGATTCCCAATCTGTATGTCCAAGATATGACAGGTTTGAATAATTTACTCTGTAAGTATAACTCCCCACCTGCTGATGCAAACCCAAAATTGAGTTTCAGTCTTTCAAATGTTGTGTATAATATTTCATAAGCACAGAAAGCACGTTTCCTTTTCTCCTCGTCTCTGAATGTTGTGTTTTGTCATTCCCCTTATAGCTAAACTAGTATATGCATCCCTAACGAATACTGCTAAACTCTTCAAGGTTTTCATTTATACAGACGAAGTCATTCTGGATGGGTTCAAAGGCCGGAATGCTTCCTCCCATCAGTATGTACGGGTCTTAACATCCCTGATCGGGTGCAGTCAGAAATTTGGGGTCCTTGCAGATGTCAGTGTCTATTCGCACTCTTAGTCTCTGCCTTTGTTCTTACCGTGTTAGGGTGATTTGTGCTGTCACACGGTTTCAGTATAACGTTTGGAAATGGGCTACATAGATTCTTTTGTCTTTGCCTTCTGCTCTTTCACCTTTTCCTCCTCTTTTCACCCTTTCTTCCTCCCTTCTTTGGAAGCAGTGGTAACTAGGACCCTGTCTCTGGAGCCCCCTGGCATGTACCGAGGATGTGACTCAGGCTCCCCCTCTGTCCTTCCGGCAGCAGTATACCTTCCCTGTCGTCCACGTCGTAGTGTTCAGTGGGTGATAGCTGAGTTGGTTGACTGGCGTGTGAAATGCTAGCAGTGATGCCGGACACATGAAGTACTGATTTGTTTTAGTAAGAGATTTTTTTCCTGTAGCTCATGTCTGCCTTTTGCCTATAATCACCTAAGTCATCAAGAGTGGAAGGCATTGGTTCTTCAGTAACTCCATCCTAGAGTGGGCAAAGGTTTTACTGTCATAGTAGGTGACCGAGGGGGCTTGTGAGGGACAGATCCCACTGAGATCAAATCTGCCCATAGTCCCGACGTCCCCCAGGGAGGAACTTCGGTGAGAGACAGGCTGAGTGTTAGGGGTAGCACCAGTTTTACCGAGGAACCAACATAAGTATAGTGTGGGGCAAAACACAGCAGATTGCTCTCTTTTAAATTAAAACTTAGTGGGAGAGACCATCATTAAAAAATCCTTAAGTATAACTGTGTTCGGTATTACAAAAAGCTGTGAGGTTGTAAAAGGGAAAGGCCTACCTGTAGTCGGGAGGTTTGGGAGGACTCTGGCGCAGAAAGCCGCTAAACGCTCCTGCTCTCATGCGAGGCAGCGTAACACCAGACAAGGGTACGGTTCACACAAGTCCCGTCCCACAGTGGTGATGCCGCAGGACCGCACGGCCATCCTTGGCTTCTCTTCCTTCGGCTCCTCACTGTCTGGAGTGGTCTTACTGTTTTTGCATCCGGCACACTTTACCACTGGCTGCGGTGGTGTAACTGGTGTCTTCCATACATGGCCCACGGTGACACCACTTTCTCCTGTGCGGTCGTGACGGTTTGTGCCCCACTTAGCCATGCCTCGCGTGTCCTCACTCACTCGCGTGAATTCTCTTCTGCCGTAGTTCACATCTGGATCATTGACTTGGTTGCACAAATATTTGTTCCTCTCTTTGCTCTTGCGGGTCCTTCACACATAATCTTTCTAGGTAAATCTCATTCTTCCAATCTAGACTACCATGCACTCTGATTCTCCAATGATTTCTTAATGACAATTTAATTGCTAACCCTGTTTTCTTTCTCTTGGCCAACCTTACTGTTTAACAGTTTTATTGTTTGAAGTATTTCTCTCCATGCTGTTTGTTCTCAGTATGTATATTATGTATATTCATATGAAATAAACATTTATGTAATAATGAAAATGAAAAGTATAGTAACCTTTCCAAGAAAACATAATTCTGAGGAAAATTTTAAACACTTGACCAGCCATTCTTTATTCAGTGAATAAAGTGCTAAATATTTGCCATCCTTCATTCTAGGAGATAAATTACTACTCTGGGTCCATTATAGTTGGCTTAAGTAGTGTCTAAGACACTTTGCTGTTGCTGGAACACAATACCAGAGACGCACAATTTAAAAGAGGAAAGGCTCACTTAGGCTCACAGTTCAGTCATCGGCCAGCAGGCTGCATGGCATAAACTGCACGGTGCAAGGGCCAGGCAGAGGAAAGCTGTGGGTATCGGTGGGCGGGTCTGCTGAGGACTGTGGTGCCCCCATGGCTCCGGCTCCTTCTGAAAGCCCCACCTCTGCACACTTAACATCTGGGGGGTACTCTAGATCTAAGCGATAACAAGCAGTACCATCTACTGATTGGGAATGGGAAAGGGGAGTGGCAATTACAGTACAGTCCATACAATGAAGATGGAAGTAGGTCTTGACTGAGCCTCTTCTGTCTCTACTTCAGCAAAATCTAAGAAATGGGTTTCTGACCTCTGAGCCCCATGGCCCTGCGCCCTGCCTGGGCCTTAAATGGCCCTTCTGAGATTCCTCGGTGCATCAGGCATTTGCTTTACTTAGAGGTGATTCATTGAGCAGATGAATGCGTTAAATATGAAGGCAGTTCAGCCTTGCATGATACATGTGTAGTGGCATTTAAACAGTAAATTCAAATAACTATGTTTTAAAATAATGACATAATAACACATTTGTTTTTTATTTCCCAATAAAACTCACTGTTAAATTAATTAGTTGCAAAATAGGTGATTATGAAAATGGAAAAAGTAAAGCTGTTGAAAGCACATCGCTTCTTGGAGAAAGGTTAATTCTTAAAATGCAGCTCATTATTTTTGAAATGTTTTTTATGTAGTATTTTAATTTTATTTAAATGACATTTGAGTTATAATTATCATTTTGGAAGACAGTACAAATTAAGTTTAACAGGGTGACTCACTTTAGGATTATATTAGTTACTCATAAAATGCTTTTTAAACTTTTTTTTAGTGTTGTGGATGCATTTAGAAAAAAAGAGAATTGTGCAGCAGTTAAAATCCAGAGCTGGTTTCGGGGGTGCCAAGTCCGAGCATACATCAGGTACAGTGATTTCCTTAGATATATCATAACAACCTTTTTCCCAGAAAATGTAATTTGTTCATATAGTGCCCTTTTATTTTACTCATAATGAAGTTATTAGATTATATCATGTTCTTTAAAGGAAATACTCAGTAAATCTGATTTTCTCCTTACCAAATAAATAAATAATTTTTTCCACATCTCTACTTTTAACACGTATCAAGAGTCTGTATAAAATGACTTGCTCAGACTTTTTCCCAAATTCTATAGGAGGTTATAAGTGACTGGGTTCTTACTTATCACAATAAATTAAAGGATAGGTGTGGGGTGCGAGGCACCAGTCCCACACCCTCTGACATGTGGACAAATCAGAGTCAGTGATGCCCAGTGGTATCATTCTGGTTGTACCAATAGAGTAAGAGCTTTTCCTTTCCCAGTTCACCCTTTTTTCCTCAGTCCCCCTTAAGTCTGAAGAGCGTAGTCCTGGGTAAAATAGATGGAAGAGGATGCCTACTATGTAATAATTTAGAAGACAAACTGGGGTCACTCTGTGTAGCAATTCTGTACACACTTGGGGAAGTCAGCCCTGAGAGTTTCACATGTGGAGAGGAGGGTTCCTCTTGGCCACCATAAAACGTAGGAACATGGCAAAAACAGTAGTGTTAACTCAGCAGACTAACGTGATGTTGGTTTCGGCAGACGAAAACTACAAGGAAACAATGAAGAAGAGAGTGATTTCCTGACCTGAAGAATTATTTCTAAGGACTCACTATGATTTGCACCAATCATTATATTGAATGTTAGGACAATAACACAGGTCTTAATGACATTCAAACTTATTTTTATGGTGTGGGTGAACACCTGTAATCCCAACACTTGGGAGGCTGAGGCAGGAGAATTGCCAATACTTCCAGGCCAGCCTGGGCTACATAGTGAGTTCAAGTCCAGCCTAAACGACTGTGCAAGACCCAACTCAAAACAGAAAGACAGAGAAACATATTTTACAAATATGGGATGCAGAGTAATTGAAATTACTATTTTATCATAAGTCCAAAGAAATAATGAATGGTCACCTATGCCTTTTTTACTACTTCAGGAAAACATTCCTTTATGCCACAATGATAACCTCCTACTTTTTAAAAGTTTGCATAAGCTTACCTTGAATATGGTCTCTTGAACCATAGAAGTTTATATTCTAAGCAAATGGTTCAGAGACTTCTCTAAGCTCGGTGTGGTGACACAAGTCTGTAGTCCCAGATGCTGTACAGGCTGAAGCAAGAGGTCCACCAGTTCAAGGCCAGCTAGGACTCCTTGTGAGACTTGGTCTCAAAGTAATGATAATGTAATGATGATAATAATTGTAATAAAATATTTTTAAAAGGGCTGAGAATGTAGCTTAGTGGTAGAGCGCTTGCCTAGCAGGATGAACAGGGGTTCAATTTCCATTTCAGTTGAGAGAAAAAATTAAGAAAAAGAGAGACATCTCCATTTCCATGAATGCATACTACCACACATTTTTTTTTAAATCCTAGGCATTTACACAGAGTAGCAATAATTATTCAAAAATGGTGGAGAGGTTACTTAAGCAGAAAACTCTATCAACTTAAGGTGGAGGTAAGTGTAAGATTTATATACAGCCAGCAGCTTTGGAATCGTGCGACAGGTAACATTTCTCTTCCGTTCACTTGTGTTCACTTGCAACTTGGGGATTACTGATGTCAAATATCTGTATATAGACAGCATTTGGTTTACTTTTTGATAAGGAGCCACTTCTGAGAAGCTTTCCTGATGTTTCCTATGGCAATCGACCAACTTGTTTGCCCGCAAACTACCCTAGATATTTTAATTTTGTTCAAAGCCCCTTACATCGTGTACGTACTTATGTAACTAACTTTCATGTCGATGGCATCCGTACTGGCTGGATGGGTGGGTCTTTGAGAAGAGAGACTCTCCACAAAACTTTTGTTTCATAGATGTAAATAAGACTTCAATAAGTCAATGATAGTTCTAAATGATTTTTTTCCAAAAATTATATATAATAATATTACATATAATTATATATATTGAAAATTATATAAACAGCCTATGTAGATATTATGAATTTGCAATTAATGTTATTGGAAAGCAAAAAGATTGCATGGCGTGTTTGTACTAGTTATTTATTAAGCACGTGCTACTTGCATTACTCATAGAACATTTAATTTATGTATCATGATGTTCGTTCAGAACTATGTTTTCCACTTGGTGGCTTTGAAACTGTGGCTCACACACTTGTTCATAAACGCGTTGTACCATGTTCATGCACATAGAAGCCTTACAGTTGTTATAAAAATTTTCAAATTGTGTGGCAGTTGTTTGATAAGTGCCCATCAACACTCTCTGGTGAAGCTCAGCCAGGACAGACTGTGTCCCGTTCTTGTTGAATTTTCATAGCATGCTGCCTGGACAGTAGTACATACTCCGCTAACCCTACATGTTGAACTAACACCCGTCCGGTAGAAGAATGAACACCAACACCATTGCTACCGCACAGTTGCACTCTTGTATGCCACAGAAGGCAGGAGCAGATGCCTCCCAGTCATCAGTCTGAATTTATCATGTCTTACCCTTTTCTCTTCCTATTTGATTTTGGGTAAAATAGGATTTTAAAACTTCACTCTGAACTCAGAAGTCCAGTGCCTCTCTTTCTGTTTCTGCTTAACATTTTGGAAAGGAAACTATCAGTGACAAGGACAGGGTCTCCCAGATGTTGTGCCTGCCTGGCCGGCCGTAGTCTTTACCTTGTCTTGCTGACTGCACCAGAGTTTGGGAAATTACTTTTTGTTGTGCACACATACAAACAGTCCACACATACATAGAGGCAAGGAGTGCCTGAGCTAAAATGGATATTCCACATCTATCTGAACTTAAATGTTCTACTTCAGGAAAAATTTTAAAATATTTCACCCATTTTGTCCTCTAAATGGAAAACTGCAATCAAATACCAGTGGTTTTATTGCATCACATTTCTGTTGTGCTGCTTTTAGTACTGTTTTCCAGACTCATGTTTTCTTGCTCCTTTTTCTTCTGTCTTTCTTCTTTTGATCTGTGGTTTTCTTTTTCCTTACTTTATTCATTATAATTCTGTTGCCATTTCTGGTCACTGAAAGTAATTTTTAAATCTTGAAATAATTTCAGGTTTATAGAAAAGTTGCAGAAATACCATTAAAAACTGCCATATACTCATCAGTTTGATTTCTAACCCACACCAAGAAATTTGCTTTTCTTTCTTTTCACTCTCAAAACATTTTTTTCTCTATGTACACATTGATCTTTTGAATCATTTGAGACAAAATTTCAGAAGCGATGCATCTTTATCTCTGAATATGAATGTATGTTTTCTATTTAGTTATGTTATAAAATCAGGAAATTGACATTTGTAAAAACAACTTATTTCTAATATATACATAAGTATATGATTTATATTTTACTGATTGCCCAAATCATATTTTTTGTAGCAAAAAAATATCATGTCCATGCTGTACATGATAATTTTGTGCCAGGCATGGTGGCACAAACCTGCAATCTCAACTCTTGACTTTCAGACCAGCCTGGGCTGCGTAATGAGACCCTGTCTCATAAAACGTAAATAAATGAATGAAAATTTCGCATGGCACTCGGTTCTTATGTCTCTTCCTCACTTTTAATCAAGAGCTCTTCACTCCTTAGTCTGACTTTGCCTTTTATGACCCTTACATTTTTAATGAGCAGAGGCTGCTTCTTTTTCAGTTACTTCTTGGCTTTGCCTTGTGGTGGTTCTTCATTGGTGGATTATGATTTCCCATTTTTAGCATCATTTCAGGAAGCACCACATCTCATCTCACCCAGGGATTGTAATGTTAACTTTGGCCATTTAAAGGCTTCCACATCTTACACTTGCTGTTTTTCTGCAAAAGTTATTTGAAGTAACGTATATTCTTTTGCATCAGATTTTTGTATACTAGGTTTAGCAAGCAATGATAATTCTTACTGGGATCAGTTATTGCTGTATTTGTCAAATAGTGATTTTATAGCCTCACAATTTCTTCTCTGTTTACCTCCTAGCATTCTACTGTAAGACCTTTTACCTCAGTCCCAGTTACTTAATCATTTATTTATATCAATATGAACTCATAGGTTCCTATTTATTCATTAAATTTTTATTGGTATTTTTTGCCATACATAATGGTTACATCCATCATAGGGAATTTATGCATAATCTATCTTAATTCTTTTTTCCCATTTCTCTCCCCTCCTTTCAACCTTTCTTTTCATTCCTTGTCATTAATTAGCTGGGGATATAGCTCATTGGTGCCGCACCTGCCTGGCAAGCACAAGGTCTTGTGTTTAATATCTGGTACTGAAAAAAAAAAAAAATCAGTGTCATTAATTGGTTTCATACTAAGGGCTTCTCACATTTTCCTAGTAGGAGCTTTTCAAGCCAACTTTTGATAGAATCAGATAACCTAAATAAGATGACCAAGGAAATAAGGGATTTTGTATGGAGTAAGAAGAATTTTACCTGATTATCATAGTAATGAAGTATATGTATCAATGGTTCAGACAAAGCCTGTACAGTATACATATGCACGAGGCATTCTGTGAGCATTACTGACTTAACTTGCGTTGCTGTGTTTTCTGCTCAAGCCAACAATCAAATGATTATGGAATGACTGAAATTTCTTTTAAAACAGACATACAGAAGTATATACATTTCAAACACTGTTATCAAAGTAGTTGTTCTCATTTAGATCGTAAAAGTACTCCAGAGACTTGGAGGTGGGCCTGGTTGGAGGAGGCTTCATTAGGGGCATGACTTGGAAGGGTAAGTTCTCTGCTCAAGCTCCATCCTTCTCTCTGTTTCCTGGTCACTGTGTGGTGAGCAGCTGTCCTCCGCCCTGCCGTTCTACCCCGCTATTTCTGCCTTACAGCCAGCTTGCCATGGCCGGAACTCATTCTAACTGTGAGCCTAAACAAAGCTCTTGTCTTTTCAGTTTCCCATGTTGGCTATTTTGTCCCAGTGACAAGAAAGCTAATATAAGAAATTGGGACAAGGAATAGGTAGTTGCTGTGACTGTATCGATCATCTGGTTTTGTGTTTTTTGGAACTGGTTTGAGGGATTGATTTGGAAATATTTGAAGATGCAAGATGGAGAAACTCTGGAACACTGAGAGCAGTGCTTGATGTATGATACTGGTCAGCACTCAATTAGCATGCTGATGGGAATGTGGGCCATAAGGAGCGGGCTTAGGAGGTTTCAGTTGGGACCAACGACTTCACTGGCAGTTGTACTAGATGCTGTAAGTGTTATGCTCTGGCAAAAATTTGTCTTCATTTTGCCCATGTCCTGAGACTTTTCATGCCCTGAGATTAAGAGCAACATACTAAGTAATATGATGGAGATGGTGTGGGTACTACTGGCTGCTCTCAGCCAGTTTTCTAGTGAGAATAAGGTTCAAAAGCAGAACTGAATGATGTGAAGCTTGGCCAGAGAGGGAGCAGATTTATAAATTTGGAGCAAAGGAGAATGTGGTTGAAAAGATTAACATGAAAAAGAAGTACTTTGCACAAGGATAGTAGAAAAGATGGCTAGATAGCATCTCAGGAATTGGCTATGACCTACACTTCTAGAACTTAAAGGTGTAAAAGGGCAAAGGGAAATTTCTTTGAAAGACTTTGTTTTCATAAGGTAACCCCAGGGTGCCGTGCTCCAGAAGGACCATGTGGAGAATTTTTCCCCTGGGATTCATTTCACTGTGCTCAGCCAGCCAGGCATTCAGAGGCCACTGCAGCCAGTGGCCTGGCTGTTGTTCAAGCTGGTGGGAGACTTTAGCATTAGCCACACAGAGCTTTTTTTTTAGGCATGCAGAATACAAGAATTGTGATGGTTATGGAGGCTCCTACCCAGATTTCAGGCAAAAGTATGTGAGAGTCTTGGTGTACACAAAGAGGCCCTGAAGCAAGAATGCACGAAGCTGTGAGTGGAGGCAAAAGTGCAGTGGAGACCCCAGGACTTTGGAGGTGCCAGGAATGTGGAAGCTCTGTTGAGGGAAACTGCAGACAGTGAGTGGAACCCACCCGCGAATGAGGCCACGTGGCCTGCAAGCAGTAAAGCTACATGAGCAGGGTCACCCAAGACCTTTGGCCTCCCGCGGGTATTGGACATGGAGCCACAGGATTTAATATTTGACCTACTGGGTTTCAATCTTGCTTTGATCCGGTTCTTTTCTACCCACTTATTCCTCCCTTTGGAATTAGAATATTTACCCTGTGAATAGCAGTATTTAGCTTTTTTTTTTTATTTAACATGGTCCTATAACTGAGAATTTGCTTTGAGTCTCAGAGGAGAACTGGACTCGAGTACCAGTACTTGCTGTTACTGTTAAGACTTTGGCAACCCTTAGACATGGATGAAATACATTTTTGCATAATGGATAATCGTGAGTCTTTTGGGATGTGTAATGTCATGATTTATATCTAAAATGTCTCCCAAAAGTCTCACATTCAAACACATAGGTCACTATAGGTGTGACTTGAAAGGGTATATTATCAACCTGAGCTCTACCCTTCTCTCTCTACTTCCTGACTGTCATGA